ACCACTTTCTGTTCTCCATATCTTACTGTACTTTACTTCATACTATTTATTAATCACTGATCTATTTTCTCTTCATTTATTCATCTCCTTCCCCCAACCTGTACATTCCAAGAGGACAGGAACTTTGTCTTGTTCAGTTCTGTACCCCCGTTTCAGGAAAAGAGCATAGAAGGAATTTGGTAAATGCTGTTTAAATGAGTGAATGCATTAATTCCAGGGTTTAAAAAGTCCAAGAAAATAGGTGGGTGCAGTGTGGCTCACGCCTATAAATCCTAGCACTTTGGGAGGCAGGCAGATCACTTGAGGTCAGGCGTTCACTACCAGCTTAGCCAACATGGTGAAACCCTGTCTCTACTAAAAGTACAAAAAATTAGCCAGGATGATGGCGCGCACTTGTAATCCCAGCTACTTGGGAGGCTGAGGCAAGAGAATTGCTTGAACCTGAGAAGCGGAGGTTGCAGTGAGCCGAGATCATGCCATTGCACTGCAGCCTGAGTGACAGACTGAGACTCCGCCTCAAAGAAAAATAAAAGAAGTCCAAGAAAATAAATCATATAGATCTAGTGCTGACACAAATTATATTTTGTTTAGTCTTACTTGGTTAGAAATGGGTATCCCTCAGCTGCAAAAATTAAGGCATCTCCTCTGGAATTGCTAATTTTAAAGAGCCTCCCTTCAAACTGATGATTCCAAAGCCCTTCCACAAAATTCCCTAGTCCTCGTGATGGGAATGTTACATTAACGTGTGCAATAATGTAATTATTAGAAAGAATAATGCAAACATTAACATAATGGAGATTTCTGTGAAATTAATATAATCAATTACTGTAAATTAACTAATGCAAGCATTATTAGATAAGGATGTATGTCTCATAGAAGCCACTCCCCCAGAAAGTGAATTTGGGGGCAGTGGCTTCTATGAGACGTAAATCCTCACCTGCCACAGAAGGAAGTCAGCACATACTATCCATAACTGAAAATGCAAGAAATAGCAGAAAATGCCTATTATTTAAAAATACGGGCCGGGCCTTGTGGCTCACGCTTGTAATCCCAGCACTTTGGGAGGCCAAGGCGAGCGGATCACCTGAGGTTGGGAGTTCCAGACCAGCCTGGCCAACATGGTGAAATGCCGTCTCTCCTAAAAATAGAAAAATTAGCCGGGCGTGGTGGTATGCGCCTGTAATTCCAGCTACTCTGAAGGCTGAGGCAGGAGAATGGCGTGAACCCGGGAGGCGGAGGTTGCAGTGAGCCGAGATCGCGCCACTGCACTCCAGCCTGGGAGGCAGAGCGAGACTCCGTCTCAAAAAAACAAACAAACAAACAAAAAAACAAAACACGGAAACAGGTATTAGAAGAAACAGCTTAAAATGTTGAAGGTGGTTAGTCTGGGGACCAGTACTCCGGGACTGGGAGGACTAGATCAGAGGTCGGCTGTTTTGCTGTTAAGGCTTACAGAACAATCTAGTTTCAAACTATGTTTAACTTCGACTTTTTCCTATCATGCTCGGTGCTGCTAGTCCTCTGAGCTCATGGAAAATTAAATCTTTATTAGGAGCCTTCCAAGATCACGCTGGGGTGGCAATGGGGACAGATAACACAATGGAGAAAAGCGAAGGCTCGCTGGTCTACAAATACACATCTATCACAACGTATAAAAGTTAACCCTGTCCCAGCCTGGCCAATATGGTGAAACTCCGTCTCTATTAAAAAATACAAAAATTAGCCGGGCGTGGTGGCGGGCGCCTGTAGTCCCAGCTACTCAGGAGGCTGAGGCAGGAGAATCGCTTGAACCCGGGAGGCGGAGTTTGCAGTGAGCCGAGATCGCGCCACTGCACTCCAGTCTGGGTGACAGAGCGAGACTCCGTCTCAAACAAACAAGTTAACCCTGTCAACATCTCGACTTTAAATGCAGAGCACTGCACATGCACACGCTCAACACCTCCCCTTCCTTCTCCAGGGCAACACACGCACAAACCCCGCACATTTATGAATCTACACAACTGCGCATTGGAGCGAATGAGGTCAGAGCCCAGAAAGGTGGAGCAGGAACGATCCCAGCCTTCAGCTAATTCTAATGTCACCTCTAACGTCTGGGGCAAGAACGTTTCAGGAAACCAAGAGGCACCCAGGCTCAGCGCCGAAGACAAAGACGCCAAGCTACTGGACCTGTGGCGCCTCCAGCGCCGGGGTGGAGCTGACCCAGCCGAACCCCGCCCCTGCCTGCGTCCGCCAGTGGTCCAGGAGTCGCTTTTTTCCACTCGGGAAGCCTTCAGAGAAGTCTCACAAAGGATTCGGCTGGCTGCTTTTCTCAGCGCCGAAGCCACGCCATGCTAGTACTCAGAAGCGGCCTGACCAGGGCGCTTGCCTCACGGACGCTGGCGCCTCAGGTACTGGCCGCGGGAGCGCGCCCCAGCCCTTGCCCGAGGGGAGGGGGGGGGCGGGGGGGGTGTTTCAGGAGCGTGCAAGCCACGCGCATGTGCGAGCCACGCGCAGGCGCTCCCAGACCTGGGGCCCCGCGCCGACGCCGAAGTTCTAGCGCAGTCTCCGGAGCCGTGTGGCGCGCAAGGAGGGGGCTGCAGGCAGGGATCGTCCCGCCGGCAGTCGCAGTCAGAGGGCTTTTCTAGCTGGATGCCAGGGTTTTTGTGTGTTTTGTTTTTGTTTTTGAGACGGAGTCTCGCTGTGTTGCCCAGGCTGGAGTGCAGTGGCGCGATCTCGGTTCACTGCAACCTCCGCCTCCCGGGTTCTGGCGATTCTCCTGTCTCAGCCCCCTGAGTAGCAGGAATTACAGGCCTGCGCCAGCACGCCCGGCTAATTTTTTTTTGTATATTTAGTAGAGTCGGGGTTTCGCCATGTTGGTCAGGGTGGTCTCGAACTCCTGACCTCGTGATCCGCCCGCCTCGACCTCCCAAAGTGCTGGGATTACGGGCATGAGCCACTGCGTCCGGCCTGATGCCAGCTGTTTTCTAGCCTAAATGCCACAACCCCCGGCCACCCCGTGGCGCCGGCTGTTGCGTTTTTGCCGCCCAGCTAAGTCCAGCTAAGCTAAGTGGCTGCGCCCAGCTAAGTGGCTGCGGCCCAGGGAGCGCTCCCATGTTGTCACCTGGCGCTGTCGATCCGCCGGTGGAGTTGTGGCTTTCCAAGCCTCCCCCCTCTCTAAACATCAGGTTGAAGGAGGGAATGGCCAACCAGCCGCTCGCAGTGGAACAGGCCTTCTTCCCCTTTTGAATGAAACAACTTCGAGCATTTCGCGGAGACCCTTGAAGAGGAGACCCAGGGTCCCGGTGGGGCTGGACCCTGCCCGCCACCCGCTCTTCGTGCGGTCGCTCCCCCAGCCAGGCTGGGACGGGAGCCTCCTAGCAAACAGGACGATGACAGACTCTTTTAACCTTAGATGAGAAATGGACAAAATGGAGCTTGTGATTCTGCCCTAACTTTCGAGATTGGCCTATTCTGTGGCTCCAAGCCAGAAATGTCTTTCCTTTTCACGTTTAGGACTTTACTCCTTTCTGAAGGGGCAGGATAGGAAGGGGGTTAACCTATCCTAGAGACAGACTGAGGAACACGAAAGAACAGCAGCTATTGTCAATTCACCTCGGATTAACAATGCAGTCTTTACCCTAAATATTCTTTCTCTAGTGGCACAGGGCCAAGAATTACTTCTTTATGGCATTATTCTGAACTTGGTTGAGTTTTTTAAAATGTCTGCCAGTTGTTCTTTTTTAAGTGAAGTAGAGGTCATTGTGCTGGGAATGAGCCCTAACTTGGAGGTAAGGGAGCATGGAAGACTTATGATTTCTGCCTCCAGTAGGTAGTTTGCTGTGCAAGAAAAGTCTCACCGCCCCACACATATCCCTCTCTCCCTGCAGTTAGCCTTTCCTGAGCTTCTCTATGATATATTTCTCCCGGGAAAGAGAATAAAAATCTGTCCATTTGACCACCTATTTACTGTGAAAGTTGCAGATACCCAGATGAAATCACTTTTGTCAGATCCAGACAGAACAGACTGGGAGGGCAGGAAGAGAGGAGGCTCGTGCTTACATATCTGAGATAAGAGCTGTTGCCAAGGACTTTAATTTTAATTTTAATTTTTTGAGACAGAGGCTTTTTCTGTCACCCAGGCGATCTCGGCTCACTGCAACCTCCACTTCCCAGGTTCAAGCGATTCTCCCGCCTCAGCTTTCAGAATCGCTGGGATTACAGGAGCCCGCCACAACACCCGGCTAATTTTTGTGTTTTTAGTAGGGATGGGGTTTCGCCATGTTGGCCATGCTGGTCTCGAACTCCTGACCTCAAGTGATCTGCCCCACCCTCGGCCTCCCAAAGTGCTAGGATTACAGGCGTGAGCCACAGCGCCCAGCCCAAGGACTTCAAAACCCCCACAGGAAATCCTTTCACATCCTACACCCATCTCCTGCTTTGACAAAGTTTATCATTAGGCCTTCTTTAGGACTGCAGTAATTCAGATAAGATGTTCTTGAAAGACCGCTTTCCTGGTAACAGCATCTTTACCACTGAACTGGCAACTCTGGCTTTGAGTCTCTGGAACCAGTCAACTCTGTTTGTAAGCAACCTATGTGAATCTCTCGCTTTTTGCTGATAAAAGCTTCCCTTTACCTTTCCCTGACTGGATGCACTGATGGCTTTCTATCCCATACATTTGCATCTATAATCCTCATTTCTCATTCCCAAGTAAACACAACATGTTTGTAGATAATTTTTTTCTAATATCTTTTAGGATAACATCTCTAGATACAAAACTCTGAAAATTAAAAACAGTTGTTTCAAATGCCTCATTGGCCCATTTTCTGAAATGTTTATATTTTATATTATTTTTAAACTGTAGATACTAAACGGTTTTTTATTTTCAGAATTTGATTAAATTGACCCAAAAAGAATGGCCATCGAAAGAAAGGATAGTTGCAATTATTTTTTGGTGTGAAGAAGGGTTTTCCAAGAAAACTAAGACACTTGGACAATAAGGGTATAACTCATACTGGAGATGAATGAACTCAAGATAGACAATTATAATTAAGACGTTATGCACACAAACTACATAGACATTTGTATGTTGTAACCAAAAATATGTCAGTGAAAGATGCCTACTGAAACTGTTGTGATACATTATTCTAGGTAGTGAGCCTCAGGAAGTTGTCACATGCTAACCATATCTAAATGAATGGATTTGTAAACTAGAATGCCACGGGAGTGGTCTGTGTATCCACGTGTGTTTACATAAATATTTGCATGTACATACACACAGACTCTGGATAATTTCTGACAGGGCATTTGCTACTGAACATTAAGTTCACTCAGGCTCAGAGGGCCAGAATAGGACAGAAAATTTACCTATTTGGTGTATGACTATTACAAAGAGTGGTCTTAAAGGATAGTTCCATAAACTTGGTATAATTGGGTGCACTAAATGTGCATACTTCTTGATATTGCATCTGTAATTAGAAACAATGGTGCAGACAATTCTGATTTGTTGAGTTTTTTTCCTTTTCAGCCTTTATGCTGTACACGCCCATAGTACAATGCAACTGGATAAGTCATAGCTTCCTTTTATATTAGTTACAGTCCAGTCCTGTTTTTGACCAGTAGTCTTCGTCAGTGGATTCAAGAAATACTTTGACCTGAATAGCCTTCCTGTTTTTTTAGGAACCTAAAAAAAAGAGGTTGTTATTAGTAAATGTATTTTTGGGCCTGCCAAAAGGCATGTGTACTTAATAAATTTTTTTCAATGTGTAACTAATACATATGGTATTGAGTAAGATGGAATATTGGCTAAACAGGGGAAAACCCTTTGTAAATTAATGAGACTAAGTCTTAAATGTACTTCTTGGGTAAAGGAGTATCATTATGATCCCACGGCCTTCTTATAAAGCAAATTCTCGTGAAAAAATGGCTAGAGGTAGACCCCTGCTAGGAAACAGTCACTATATATTCATCAGAATTAAGAGTAGTTATCTTTATTGACATCTCTATGTAAACAAATATATATGGAGAATTGACAACAAAAGTAAACAATGGATAATGAGTGTGTGTGTGTTCCTTGTACCAGACTCAGATTTGGTTGTAACCAAATCTGTAATTCTACCTTCCCAGGATATTTACATCTGTCTTATCTCCCTCAGGTGTGCTCATCTTTTGCTACAGGCCCCAGACAATACAATGGAACGTTCTATGAATTTCGTACTTATTACCTTAAACCTTCAAAAATGAATGCGTTCATGGAAAATCTTAAGAAAACCATTCATCTTCGGACAGCTCACTCTGAATTGGTTGGATTCTGGAGCGTAGAATTTGGAGGCAGAATGAATAAAGTGTTTCATATTTGGAAGTATGGTAAAGAGTCATCCAGTTTTAGTGTTCAGTATAGATTTTCATTCTGTTAAATGTAACATAACACTTAGTTCTTGGATCTATATTACTATAGATACATACAGGTTAAGTAAGACTTTTTAAAAGCAATACCAAAAAAATAAATTAGCAGATCTTCTTCCCAGTGGTTCACCTCTAACCACCCCTTGCTTGAACTCTTATGTTATCATAAATGAGAAAACATGGAGTCTCATATATCAAACCATAAAATTGTGAACTAGACTTTAATCCCCAGAAAAATGTTAGAATTGTTTGCTATACAGATAGTTCGTGAAAATTTAAAGCAGTAATTGTAAATGTTCAAGTGGGTTAAGATCACAGTTGGGCCTGCCAAAAGGCATGTATATTTAATAAAAATGTTTTAAATGTGTAACTATATATGGTATTGACTACGATGGAATACTGGCTAAATAAGGGAGAATGCTTTGCAAATTTGTGAGACTCCTAATTGCAGTTCTTGGGTAAAGGGGTATCATTAGGATAAGAGAATTTTTTTTCTTATTATTATTACAGCTAGGGCTGGATATCAGCATTTTTGCAGAAATAATTCACCCATTTGGGAGTTTTATAAAAATGGAGGTTTTTAAAGGATGATCATTAACTTTTAAGCCTTACCCAACTCTGAGATTTAATAATTCTGTTATGTTTAGAGACCACTTTTTTTTTTTCATTTATGTACCCCAGAGTTTCAAGGAATTCACTTTCGTACTACCCTAGGGAGGAAAAGGAATGAGAGAGAGTTCTTCCCATATTGAGCTGACCTACCTCTGATTTAGTAGAGGAAGGAGAACAAGTAACAAGAATCCCCAGAATGTTTGTTACTCCCATGTCTGTTCTTAACAGTCCACATCAGGACTTGAGGGTACCTAAAGAACTTTTAATAATTTCATTTACTGTTTAGTGATCAGTGTCCAAGGTTAATAGTCATAAAGTAATTTAATATGAAAAGAGTTCATTCTATACTTGACGTAACTCTTTAGTTTTTCCCTGTTAATAAAACAGACCCTATTAAAACATAACTTATGCTTTAGATAAACCATAAATTGAAACATGTCCCATTGAAAAACCTACTAATAAAGTCTTTATAATTCATTTATATGCTTTAGATAAACCACATATATGATCCACTTATGTGCGTTAGATGAGCCACAAGTTTAATCATGTCCCATTAAACTGCTCATAAAGTCTTTATAATTGACTTAAGTTGTAAGATAGGTGTTATTCCTTGTCCTCAGCAAAAATTATATAGTTCATTTACTATTAGTCTTAGGAGGCCCTAAAAGTAAATATACTATAGTTTTCCCTCTGTATTTGCAGGAGGTTGGTACCAGGACCCTCTGTAGATACCAAAATCAGCTGAAGTCCCTTATATGAAACAGCATAGTGTTTCCATCAAACCCACACACATCCTTCCATATACTGTAAGTCATCTCTAGATTACTTTTAATCCCTAATACAATATAGATACTATGGGCCGGGCGCGGTGGCTCAAGCCTGTAATCCCAGCACTTTGGGAGGCCGAGACGGGCGGATCACAAGGTCAGGAGATCGAGACCATCCTCGCTAACACGGTGAAACCCCGTCTCTACTAAAAAATGCAAAAAAACTAGCCGGGCGGGTTGGCGGGCACCTGTAGTCCCAGCTACTCGGGAGGCTGAGGTAGGAGAATGGCGTAAACCTGGGAGGCGGAGCTTGCAGTGAGCTGAGATCCGGCCACTGCACCCCAGCCTGGGCGACAGAGCAAGACTCCGTCTCAAAAAAAAAAATTAAAAAATAAAAAAAAAAATAGATACTATGTAAGTAGTTGTTATACTATACTATTTCACTTGTATTTTTAAGAATATTTTTAATCTGCAGTTGGTTGAATCCATAGATGCAGAACCTGTGGAGAGGGAGGGCTGACTATACAAGGCCCATATCTTGGTAAATGTATATACCTGTTTGGGTAACTTAGAAAGAAGAGAAATAAGTTGTGGAGAAAAAGAACTACTGACAATAAATAAAAGAATCAGCACTATTTCATTGGGAGCTGCTGTTCAAAAAATAGGCTTAAAAAGTGCATCTTAATTTCATTTATGTTAAATTTGATTCAAAGTGTAGCTTGACCTAATCACCGACCACCAAGGAAAAATTGTCTTTATAAATCAAATGCTTCCATTTATTAATAAGAATCGTTAACATATACTGAGTACTAACTAAGGTGCCAAACACCATTCTAAGCTCTTTTCATGTATTAATTCATTTAATCCTCACAACAACCCTGGAGGTAGGTGTTATACTATTTTCTTCACAGAATAAGAAACTGAGGCACAGAAAGATTGAATAATGAACCTAATTCACACAACTTCCTAAGAAAGTCTTAGAGCCTATAAAGCCCATTCTATGTCAATTAAGTTCATTTTTTACATTTCAACTCCCCTTTTAGACCATGAGTAACTTGAGAGCAGTTGTCACATATATTTATGTTGGCATCTCCAGTGACATAATAACATGGGGTCCCCATATGGCCTTGCACATTTGCTGAACTGAGTAAAATTTAAGTAAAAATATGGGCGATTTTAAATCAAAAAATTTTTTCTTATTTTCCTCCCATAGATAATTTTGCTCATCGAGCTGAAGTTCGGAAAGCCTTAGCCAACTGTAAGGAATGGCAAGAACAATCCATCATTCCAAATTTGGCTCACATTGATAAACAAGAGACGGAAATTACTTACCTCATACCATGGTCCAAATTAGAAAAGCCTCCAAAAGAAGGTGAGTTCTTCCCTCTTACAGACTATGAGTTTTAATGAGTACAATACTATAAATCTAAAGCTATAAAAAGTAAAGTTCTATAGGAAAAAAATATGTAACTCTTTGTTTTCTATAATAATATATGGTGAGTCTGGAGATAAAAATGAATTAGAGACTGGGCTCACACCTGTAATCTCAGCACTTTGGGAGGCCGAGGTGGGCGAATCACTTGAGGTCAAGAATTCAAGATCCACCTGGTCAATGTAGTGAAGCGCCATCTCTACCAAAAATACAAAAATTAGCTGGGTGTGGTGGTGCATGCCTGTAGTCCCAGCTACTCAGGAGGCTGAGGCAGGAGGATTGCCTGAACTTAGGAGGCAGAGGTTGCAGTGAGCCGAGATCGCATCACTGCACTTCAGCCTGGGCGACGGAGCGAGATTCAATCTTTAAAAAAAAAAAGAGAGAGAGAGAGAGAGAGAGAATTGGAGCTCTAGAGCTCTTTGCTTATCCTTAAAACATTGAGCACAAAAAAGTGAAGTATTTTTCCGAATTGAAATCTAGCAGATGCCTAACAAAAGTTGACATGGTCAGTACAGGTGAAAAAGTGGGGCTTGGGAGCTAGGAAAACAGGTGTAGGTAGATGAGTCGTAGTTTATGAAATTTTGTCACAGTTTTAAAATGTATAAACTTTTAATATAAAAGTATTTTTCCACAAATTCAGCTAATCTTAAATCATTAAGTATATCTTTGTAAACTGACTGTTTTGGGGGAATGAATTAACTTACACTGTTAAGCTACATTATTGTAGTTTAACTTTTGTGTCTTCCTCTTTCTTGTTTCTCAGTTTGAAAAGATTTGTCTTCCTCCTGATTTCACTTCTTGCGCACTAAAGGAAATAATTACTTCAGTCTAATTTTAAACAGAGGTCAGATTCAAAAAGCATAAACTAATTTAAATTTCATTTTATGTCTCCCATAAACTCAACTTTGATTTTATTTTAGATTATACGAGATTTGAAAAGTCTTGTTTGGATTCTAATGTACTTAAAACTCCCCTCAGCTTTCAGCACTAAGTAAAACAGTTGGCTTCGCAGTGTCAGGTCTTACAAATAGTTCCCTTCCTCTATGTTGTTCATAATTCTTTAGTAACTTTGTATTTCTTTCCTTTTTCTTCTCCAATCTACCTTGTCCTCTGGTTTCTTTCTCTCCACCCATCTTATACTTCTGGCCAGAAGGTAGAATGGTTTTTAAGCATTTACCTCGATATTTAAGAAGAATAAAACCATCTCCTTGAGGGTTTTCTTTTTTTCCTTAAAGACTCAGACATGACTTTGGGTCAGCTAGAAATAGAATCCTATAGGGGAAAATAATACAAAGGAAAAAGTTATTTCCTCTTAAAATTGAAAAGGAGAAAGAAATGTAGGATATCAGAAAGTACTTCTCTTACTCATTTCTTTTTTTTAAAGTGTAGACGGGCAGCTTGAAAATTCTGCTCCATTATAAATTCTCAATATCTGTTTTTTTGACAAATTCTATAGATTAAAAATATTGCAGAGTGTAGTTTATATATAGCTTCCAGTCTCTTTTCTTTATTTTCTTTATGATTAATTTTAACAACTGACCCTTCAACATGGACAAAGACTTTCTAAACATAAAAGCAAAGAAAAATAATGCAGAGAATTAATAAATATGAGTGCATATGTACGTATACATGGATTATCCTCTAAATTCATTGGTTAGCCTTCTGATGGAATCAAGAAAACCTGGTTAGAAATTATTTGAATGTCTTCTGTAAAATAATTATTTTTCTCCCTATTCTAGGAGTCTATGAACTAGCTGTTTTTCAGATGAAACCTGGTGGACCAGCTCTGTGGGGTGATGCATTTAAAAGAGCAATTAATGCCCATGTCAATTTAGGCTACACAAAAGTAGTTGGTGTTTTCCACACAGAATATGGAGAACTCAACAGAGGTACAGTTGTCCATTTGTTTTATGAAGTTGCCATGTATATTAGATCAGTTTGTCTCTCTTTTTCATTATGGTACCTGTTTTAATTTTTATTTCCAAATTTTTAGAGTTTGTTGTTTATAGGACTGAAAAAACCTATAAACATCTTATTTTACATCTTATTTTTTTACAATGTTAATACTTTATGGAGCTTTTTTCAAATGCTGAACTGCTGTTTTTTTTTTTTTTAAACTTTTATTTTAGGTTCACGGGGTACATGTGAAGGTTTGTTACCTAGGTTAACCCATGTCACGGGGGTTTGTTGTACAGATTATTTCATCACTCAGGTATTAAGCCCAGTACCCAATTGTTATCTTTCTAATCTTCTCTCTCCTCCCATCTTCCATTCTCAAGTAGACCCCAGTGTCTGTTGTTTCCTTCTTTGTGTTCATAAATTCTCATCATGTAGCTTCCACCTGTTAGAACACATGGTATCTGGTTTTCTTTTCCTCCGTTGGGTTGTTGAGGATAATAGCCTCTAGCTCCATCCGTGTTCCCACAAAAGATATAATCTGGTTCTTTTTTATGGCTGCATGGTATTCCATGGTGTGTATGTACCACATTTTCTTTATCCAATCTGTTATTGATAGGCATATAGGTTTTCATGAAAAGATTCCAAGTCTTTGCTGTTGTGAATAGTGCTGCAGTGAACATTCACATGCACATGTCTTTATGGTAGAATGACTGATATTTCTCTGGGTGTATATCCAGCAATGGGATTGCTAGGTCGAATGGCGGTTCTGCTTTTAGCACTTTGAGGAATCACCATACTGCTTTCCACAGTGGTTGAACTGATTTACACTCCCATCAACAGGGTATAAGTGTTCCCTTTTTTTATAACCTCACCAGCATCTGTTATTTTTTGACTTTTTAGTAACAGCCATTCTGACTGGTGTGAGATGGTATCTAGTTGTGGCTTATATTTGCATTTCTCTAATCAGTGATATTGAGCATTTTTTCATAAGTTTGTTGGCCTCATGTATGTCTTCTTTAGAAAAGTGACTGTTCATGCCCTTTACCCACTTTTTAATGGTGTTCTTTGTTTTTCTCTTATATGTTTGTTTAAGCTCCTTATAGAGGCTAGATATTAGACCTTTGTCAGATGCATAGTTTGCAAAAAATTTTCTCCCATTCTGTAGGTTGTCTGTTTACTCTGTTGATAGTTTGTGGTTTTTTTTTTTTTTTTTTGTTTTTTTTTTTTGCTGTGCAGAAGCTCTTAAGTGTAATTAGATACCATTTGTCAATTTTTGTTTTTGTCATGATTGTTTTTGTTGTCTTTGTCATTCAAAATTAATATCATTGACATAGAAAATTATCACATTGTTGCAACATTTTTAAAAATCTGTTACTAATATACAGTAAGACCCTAATTTATTTTACTCATTTTTTTTTAAGGAAACACGCCATATGTTGATAAAGGTTTATCTAGGCACTTAAGGTTATACTAATTTTTATTTTTTCTTTGTATCACCTAAATTTTCTACAGTAAACAGTTTTTTTATAATCTGCTTTTTAAGAAAAAAAAATAGTAGGAAGTTGGGTCTAGTCTTAATTGTACCTTAAGCTGTGTTTCTTTGCATTCTCTCTTCAGCCTTATGTTTCCAGTTTAACTTACAAATTTATATCCCAAATTTCTGATCCCTCTGAAATCTTATCACTAACATGTTTAGTTTTGCCTTCTTGATATCACTAATTTGATTTAAAGAATAAGACAACATTTCTGATTCATTTTTTCAATATTTCTTATTTGCTATTGCCATATAGTTCAGAAACTACTTGTGGTTTGTTTCTGCAGTTCATGTTCTCTGGTGGAACGAGAGTGCAGATAGTCGTGCAGCTGGGAGACATAAGTCCCATGAGGATCCCAGAGTTGTGGCAGCTGGTAAGCTGTTTGACTAGGCATGAATTATTTTTAGAACAAATGTGATTCAGTCAATAACTATATGCCTTCTTATGAAATGTTTTTCCAGTTCGGGAAAGTGTCAACTACCTAGTATCTCAGCAGAATATGCTTCTGATTCCTACATCGTTTTCACCGTTGAAATAGTTTTCTACTCAAATACAAAACATTTCATTAACTGCTCTAAGATGTGTCTGCTAATGGTGCTTAAATTCTCCCAAGTGGTTCTCGCTTTTATTTGAAGGAGATGGTAAGTTAATTAGTTAATTTGCTATGCTTCCTGAATTTTTGAAAGTTACATCTTCTCCACTGCTTTAAGAAATAGTTCAGTTCACTTTCACCTTGGCATTTCAGTATGTTACACATTAGAAGTAGTTGTCACTACTTGGTTTTTTATTTGTTTTAGAATACCTCTTCTGTATTTTGATAACTCATTGCTTTATAGAATTTTCTTTTATTCAAATAAGGATTTTACATTTCCTTGCCCGACAGTATTTTTGAATTATTTATATAAAATATCTGTCTTTTCATCATATCTACTTTTCCTGAGATTTTTTTTAAAAATTGCTTAGTGAAGTTTATTTTGTGATATCAAATGGGATTTATAAAAATATTAGATTAAGTTTATTTCTTTACTGTGGAAAAGTACAATGTCATCTGTATTAATTATTGCTTTTACATTAATTATTAGTCATTCTAACTTGGAAAATAATGCAGTTGGGTCACAGTGTCAAAAATCTAGAAAGTCTTGTTGGTTTATATGCTAAAATTGTTCATTTATAATTAATTTTACTAATTTCTACTTAGTTTGGATCACTAACAGAGATCTTGGGACATTTATTTGTTTTAAAGAAATATTTGTGATTATGGAAATGCTTGCCCTAATAAAAATCCTACATATTCATTGTTGTTTTAAATTCATATTTTATACTTATATGATCTCTAGAGCTCTTACTATGTTGCTATAAGACAGTAATATAGTGATAATTTACCAACTTTGTTGAAAATGTTAAGTTGCATCAATAAAATAGCATGCTGGGAACCTGAGAAGGAAGGTTTCTTTAGTACTGCCACAGATGTCCTGGAGTTTTCCTTGAAACATCTTTCATTTCCATTTTACTTGATATCTCTACCTTATAAAACTAGATTTGGTACTCCTGATAGTGTATATTTACAGCTATATTATTTTTACATTTTTACAGACTGTCTCCTAATAGTCTATATTTACAGCTATATTATTTTATATTTTTAAAATCTTATAGCTATAAAATAGTAAATTGTGAATTAGCTGTCCAAGGGAAATGTGGAAAACAAGATGTACAGTTTCCTCTTATTTATCAGGCTGTAAGCGATCTGCAGTTTATCTGGGCTATTATGCAACGTCAGATATTATTTATGAGAGGCAGGCAGTGGCAGCTTAAACAGACATGCCGCCTCAGCATTCTTTTCCATGCAGAGTTCAAAGAGGCCTAAGACATCTCACATTTACATGAAATAGTTGGGGCATAAGTATGTGGTTAATTACACATAAATTACCAATTAAAATTAAAAGTTAACTAAAATACTACAGAAGACATTTAATATTTTGCTTCAGAATGTTATGGTACCTTAGGGTTATGAGTATCAATTATTTTTGATCCATACCTTATTTAAAAGGAAGGGGAAGCTGACATTTTTATCTTTTTTAATGGATATACTCTAAGTTGTCTTAAAGGCTTCCCTGGATTAAGCAAAAATAGAATTACATGGTTTAAATCATATACCATATTCTTCATACTTAGCTCCAAGTGGATTATGACTTTTTCTAAAACTTAACATGACAGAGATTTGCCTTCCAGGGGGTCTAATTTGAAGAGGAAAGTAATTTGCATGTACAGATTTATATCATAGCATTATGTTTTTCTCTATTTTATTCATTCTTTCATTCTCTTCAATGACTCCCAGCACCTGCTCTTCCATCTTCATTCTTAGCCAATGACCTTTCCTTTTACTTCACAGAGAAAATAACAATCAGAACAGTCTTCATAAGTTCCCACCCCGACCTCTGCCCGCTTTCTGCAGCCAACCCCGCATGCCCTGCTTCTCTCCTCACACTGTGGATGAATGACCCGTGCGCCAAGCAAACACAAACCCTCCACTTGAACACTCACTTGCTGAAGGATGTGGCTCAGGCAGTTTTCCTCTCTTGTTGCCTGAAGCCACAGTATTCCCCTTCAACTGGATTCTTCTCCTCAGCATACGAATATACTATTATTTTTCCTATATTAAAAAAAAAAAGAATAAAATTACCCCATTTTTTTTACTTTACAATATGACTCAAAAAAGTAGTTCATACTTCCTGCCTCCATTTTCTTCCCTCACATTATCTCTTAAACATTCTCTGATCACGCCAGCCAAATTGTGCTTGTCAACTCATTTCCCAGTTCTCATTTTACTTGACTTGTTAGCAGTTGACCTCTCCTTTCTTCTGGAAACAGTTTCTTCGTTTCTCTGCAACACTGACTGCACAGGCCTTCATATCTCCTAGTCTCCACCTTGTCTCCTTGACCTCCAATGTAAGGACTGAGTCCTGGGACCACTTCTCTTTTCTATTTATACTTACTCCCTATGTCATCACCCCCAGTCTTGTGACTTCACATGCTATCTGTGTGTGGATGGCTCCAGTCCACACCTCTTTTCTTTTTTCAAATTCACACATGTGAATTTGAATTCCAGGCTCATCACATCCAGATGTGTTCCCCACACCTCCACCTGAAGGTCTATTAGAAATCTCACACCCCTCTTGTCCACAACTGAGCTCTTGATCTTTACCCAGAAACTTGATCGCAGCTAATGGCAACTCCAGCTTTCTGTTTTGCTCAGGCCACAGACCGCAGAGTCATTCTCACACTGCCTTTTCTCTCTCACACCATTGTGTACCTGTCAGCAGATCCCAGATAGCTAGAATTTGATTGCTTCACATCCCTATAGCAACTATCCTGGTTCAAGCCAATCGTCATCTGGATTTTTGGGAAGTGCTCTTAACTGGTGTCCTGCCCTTCCCCTCTGCTCTCAACCCTACTTTCAACATAGCAGTCAGAATAATCTAAAATATAAAGCAGATCATATCACTCCTCTGCTCAACAGCCCCTCCCAATACCTTCATCTCTTCCTCAGAATAATTGTCCAAGCCTCTAACTGTGGCCTACAAGTCTTTACATGATCTGTCCTGTTACCTTTTCCATCCTCACTCCAGACCTGGCCTAAGAGGCTTTTCTTTGAACCTGCTAAACATGCTCTTACCTGAGGGTCCATTCCCACTGCTTCTGCCTGGAATGCTCTTCCCTAGACAAGCATCTGCATGGATCATTTCCATGCCTCCTCGGGTCTTTGCCCCCATGAAGCCTTCCCTGACAACCCTATTTAAGATTGTAATTTCCTCCCATGGTGGCCCCTATCTGCTAGAGACCGAATGTTTTTGTCCCCCAAAAATTCACATGTTGAAGCCTTAATCTCAACATAGGAGGTTGGGCCTTTGGGAGTTAGTTTTAGATGAGGTCATGTGGGTAAGAGAATCGATGCATTTGTAAGGGCATAAAGAGTCCTCTCTGTGAGGAAACCAGAATGTAAGCCTTCACCACAACTTAATAATGCTGGCACCCTGGTCTTAGATTTCCCAGCCACTAGATCTGTGAGAAAAAAAATGTTTGTTGTTTAAGCCACCCAATCTATGGTACTGTTGTTACAGCAACCTGAACTAAGACACTATCCCTCTCCCCTGCTTTATTTTTCTGTTATCACCATAATTAATGTTTAACTTATATATGATTTGTTAATGTCTCTCTCTTCCCACTAGAAACCAAATTCTGTGACAGCAAGGGTTTTTGCTTTCATTGTTGTCATATTACCCTTGCCTGGCAGGTGATAAGCCCTAAGTACTTGTTGACTGAATTAACATATGAGATGTGTGAGTTTGAAAAAAGAAGTACATCATTCCTCCACTCTCATTTTGTGCCACCGTTAACAGTAGATTGCATAATTGTTATTGGAGGTGCCTCACTATTACATATGGAAAGTATTCCTGGAAAACACGGCGAATGACTCAGTAGAAGTTTTGGCTATGGGGGGGTGCCATCAATAAAAATAATACCATTGCCTGTTGGTTATAAGTTTCTGTCACAGACTATGAAGGTATTTGAATTGTATTTCCAGGAAGAGAAACAGATATGCAACCAATCTGATTCAGTTCTACCTGCTGCCACAGAACTCCCAAAGGATAAGCAAATGCCACTTGTAGACTCAAACTCTGAACTTCATTCTCAGCACCAGCTTTTAACCTACTGAGTAAATCCTATGAGCCTGAGTAGTGTTGCAACTGAAGTTGTAGTACTTTCTGTCATCAAAGGAGTGTGAACCTGGAGTATGTTGGAAGAAGAGTTAGGTTCATTAGCGAGACCTCTTTCATAACTGCTGTCACCTAGAATGTCTGTTCTCTAAGCATCTTCTTGAAAGAAGCACATTCCCCCAGGAGAAGGAAATGGTTTGTTTTCTTTAGTGACAGATAGTTGGCCCAGGACCCTGAGGTAAAGGAGTATGGGCATTAGACAAAATGAGTTTTATAATAGTTGATTGGAAGAAATGGAAGTTTTTTAATCATAGGCTTCTGCCTTGAAAGGGCAAGTCTGTAGTGGTTGTGAACCAGCCAGATTGTGTACAAGCTTCCTGCCAGAAGAAATGCCTGTAGGATTAAAAGCAAAACAGCAAAATCAAAAAGGAAGGGCAAGAAGATGCCCAGGTGCAGCCTATATTATTAACAGACAAGGAAAGGATCCAAATAAAAGTTCTGTAAACCAGCTGTTGTCCTGTTTTCTGCTTCCCTTCAAAGCAAAAATATAGATTTGTGTATATTTGCAGTCTCCCCTTCCTTGCCTCTCATTCTTCCCTGAAAATCTATTCCAGTTAGGTCTGCATCCTTGTCATGCTGAAATGACTCTTTTGAAGGTCACCAAGGACCACTGTCTTCTCAAATTCAATAGCCATTCCTGCCTTTACTCATTTACATTCCTTACTCATCTTCTCAGCAGTGTTGGATATAATTGATAACTTCTGCCTTCCTGAAACAGTAATTCTCTGCGTTACAACGTATGGTATTATACTCTTCAGATTTTCCTCTTTCTCACTGGCCAGTCCCTCTCAATTTCCCTGGCTGGCTTCTCTTCTAAATGTTAAAGGATCTCAGGCTCAAGAATGTTCCCTCTCTTCATTCTCTCCAGGTAATCTCATTCAGTCCCAAGGCTTAAATATATACATACCGATAACTTGCACATTTTTTTTTTTTTTTAGATGGAGTTTCACACTTGTTGCCCAGGCTGGAGTGCAGTGGCGCTATCTCTGCTCACTGCAACCTCCGCCTCCCAGGTACAAGCGATTCTTGTCTCAGCCTCCAGAGTAGCTCAGATTACAGGCATGCGCCACCATGCCCGGCTATTTTTTTGTATTTATTAGAGACGGGGTTTCACCATGTTAGGCTGGTCACAAACTCCTGACCTCAGGTGATCCACCCGCCTCGGCCTCCCAAAGTGCTGGGATGTTAGGCATGCGCCACCATGCCCAGCCAACTTGCACACATTTATCTTATTTTCCATCATTGCCCCTGAGCTTCAGACTGAAATACCAACTGCATTTTTAACACAGCCATCTACCTAGTTCAGGTCACAAACTAGAAGTCACCTTGCTAGCTCTCTTTCCCTCGGTCCCTACACGGAGTCCGTCAGCAAGTCCTGCTGGATCTGTCTCCAAAGTGGATACTGAACGTTACCATAGCTCCCTATCTATTGCTACCATCTTAGTCCAATCCACCATTATCTATTAGTCTTCCTACTGTCCTTTCTTCCCATAGTAGCCAGTGTTCTTTCTGAAACAAAGTAGGTCACACCACTACTGTTTAAAACTCTCCAGTGGCTCCTTGTTGCACTAACAATAAAATCCAAATACCTTAAAAAGGCTGGCAAGATCCTGTGAGACGTGGTCCCTGCTCTCTCTCCAGTTCCAGCCCCTGCCACTCTTCTCCTTGCTAACTCAATACAAGAGACATTAGTACAGATATCTCTTTTACCCCCTCAGCTTGCCAAGCTTTTTACCACTGGGCTTTTGCAACACTTATTCTTTCTTGCGGGAATATTCTTCGCACCCACCTTGAAAGGTTGCTCCTGCTCTTCTTATTCGGTTCTCAGCATGTCACTCCTCAGAAAAGGCCATCTCTGACTTCTCTCCATTGTTATCCGATTACCATGTCTTATATTCTTCTTAGCACCGATTGCTGTCAAAATATATTAGGTGTGTTTGTCCACACATCATCTTTCACCACTGAAATATAAATTCATTAGAGCAGGAATTCTATTTTCTTCTACATTGTACCCCCAGTACCTAGAGAAATATCTGGCATACAATAAAGTTCAGTAACTATTTGTTAATGTATATTGATGCTGATGTGATTTTACAAGGTCGATTTTAACTGATACCTAACTTCAACAAAAAGAACCCTCTGCCACTTGACTGTCCCGGTACTTTTGGATGAGTTTCTTATCCACGGAGCTGTAATTTACTCGTATGTAAAATGGTACTTTTTACCTTATAGGGCAGGTATTGAGAATTAAATGAAGTGTATAACAACACAGTAAACACTTGAAAACTGAAGCTAAGGGTTTTTTTCGTACTTCATGTAGACATTACCATTACAAAGCGTCAAGTTTTTTGAATCTGGGAAAGTTCTTTTGGGCTTTTCTACAGATAGAAGAATATTTTGGTCAAGACTCATGGGTAGGGCCAGGCGAGGTGGCTCACACCTGTAATCCCAGCACTTTGGGAGGCCACGGTGGACAGATCACCTGAGGTCAGGAGTTCGAGACCAGCCTGGCCAACATATAGTGAAACCCCATCTCTTCTAAAAGTATAAAAATTAGCTGGCATGGTGGTGCATGCCTATAGCCCCAGCTACTTGGGAAGCTGAGGAGAACTGCTTGAACCCGGGAGGCGGAGGTTGCAGTGAGCCAAGATCATGCCACTGCACTCCAGCCTGGATGACAGAGAGTCTGTTTCTCAAAAAAACAAAAACAAACAAACAAAAACAAAAACAAAACTCATGGGTAACATTTTCATCTAAATTACCTGCCTTTTTATTTTTCAATAAAGTTTTTTCTTCTCCCTTGTCATTGTTCACAAAGAAACAGTGTTCTATGATTTCATTAGAGTCACTATAACGTAAACTTCAAGATAGGAGGATGAAGTTGTGATGCTGATGCTCACTTCAAGCTCACTTGAAGCCAAGATTTTTCTGCACACAAAGTTCAGATCTGTGCCACAGAAAAAGGAATGCTCACGACACTTTGTCACAGCCGTTCCCAAGGGGTCACAAATAGAGCCAGCCTCTTCTACTGCCTCAAAAGGACTGTTTGACAGGGATTCAAGTAGCAAAATAAGCAGACATCTTTTTCTGAAACTGATTCCTAATGAGCTATGAAAAATACATTTACATTGTCTCAGCACTACTCCTATGTTGTCTGCACAGCACTTATTACAGGAG